TGGGGAAAAGCCCTAACCCCATTGTTCTCCTTTAAACATCAAGGAGCAGCATCCATTGTAAGTGATTCAATCAGCATTTTAAATAGATAAAAAACATTTTGACTTTAATATCACTTTAAGTGGGGGTTGTTTGCTCCTATATGCTTTCAGCTGCAAGACTCGTATCTATCAGGGAAAAAAATCTTTAAAATACTTTCTCGTGGTATAGGTGTCCATAAACAGTTCAGAAAATGTTTCCATCCTCAAATATATGCTGCAGATGCAATCCAGATGTAGAATCATGCTCCATATGTGGAGTTGTCTGAGTATTCAATCCTGCTTTTCTCTAACCTTAAATTATGTCCACGTGTCCTCTTCAGGGACCTAAGATTATTTAAGTTGTTACATTCCTTACAGTCGTTGTTGATAGCGATCATTTCTCCCATGAGCGCCTCCTCTCTATGGTAAATAAGTTTGGATGACCTAATCTCCTCCTGACGAAGTCGCGCAAAGACGTAACGTACGTAGGGCTGAGCATTTGACGTCACTCCTCTCAGCTGAGCCGGACGGATAGGAGTCCCTTTGCACCCATAGATTTGCACTGTGGTGTCCATTGGATATTTGTTTTATGCCTTTTGTCACCTGTGACATTGTGAGTACCTGATTTTATTTAATAAATTGCATTTGTTTGGACGATACACACTATGTCCTCTTTATATTTTATTTCCCTTTAAAATGATGATGTTATTTGCGAGCTGAGGAGGTCACCTGGTCTTCAGTCATATGGGCTTCCCTCCCCTATTAAGAAGGGAAACGTGCTTTTAGACCTAGTTCTGTGGGTCTATCTCTGTTCCAATTTTGCATTCACTGGGTGGAGGTGAAAGCATATACTCATATATTTCATTGTTCATCACATATTTCACTGAATTGTACTTATTTAGCTCTGCAAATGATTGTCTTACATCCTTTTATATATTTTTATTTATCTTGAGTGCCTAGCAGCTCATATTTGTATTTATTTACTGGCGCTGATCACTTATTGTTTTATAGATTACCTAATCGTTCCTCGTAGCTGAGGTCCTCCAGTCCTTTTCTTTACTTTTTTGGCCTTCGCAGGACCCACTCCCTTGTATCCCCTGAACCACATACTCAATATAAGGCCGAACCATTGTTTTTTTTAAAGGGGTAAAGTGTATTGATTTGTCCCTCGAATAAGTACTTTCCTTGTTATTGCCCGCATGGCATCGAATGATATTGCTGTCTGTGGTCAACTATGACCTCGATCTTTTTCTGACACCGATTCTTCCAGTGTAACCCCTCCTAATAAATATCTTGCCTGCAGGTTTTTAGCACCCAAATACATAACTTTGCATTTTAGATTGCAGCCTTAGAAGACTCAGGATCTTATTAGATCATATACTGTATATCTGTGTAGTCCAGCGGCTGTGAATAGAAAAGTCCGGCCACTAGATGTCGCTGCCGAGGCCAGGGAGTGTGTATAGCGGCACTTTTATGCCTTTTGTCACCTGTGACATTGTGAGTACCTGTTTTTATTTAATAAATTGCATTTGTTTGGACGATACGCACTATGTCCTCTTTATATTTTATTTCCCTTTGAAATGATGATGTTATTTGCGAGCTGAGGAGGTCACAGTCATATGGGCTTCCCTCCCCTATTAAGAAGGGAAACGGCACTTTTATATTCACAGCCTCTGCTGTCCTCCCACTGACTGACACTGCTGCGCTAGGAGGAGGCTGAGGAGAAGTGGATGCTGCAACCCCCTCAACAGTGAGTTGCGACCCACTTTTGGGTCGCGACACACAGGTTGAGAACCGCTGGTTTAGTGTGTTCTTTTTGTGAAAAAGGAGAGATAATGAGTGGCCATCCTTTGGCACAAGAGCAGTCCTGGGAGAGTTGAAATTAGTTTCTGTAACCATCATGAGCTATTTAAAGCGCACTACACCCAAATAAACCATCTTAAAGGAGAACTATGGGGTCAGTGTTTTTCTCCCCATAGTTCTCCTTAGGGTAACGGGGAGGACACAAACTAGCGTCCTCCCGTTACCCTAAGCTCAGTATACCGCGAGCTACAGATCGCGGTATACTGAGACGCCGCAGCCGGAGCGGATCCCGACATCGACGTCGAGATCCGCCCAGCTGCGTGAGTGACAGCTGGCTCTGCCTATCTAGAGGCAGAGCCAGCTGTACCCGCCCCCCTCCCCCGTCCGTTCCGCCAGTCAGCACTGGCAGATCGGAGCGGGGAGGGGGGGAATCCAGCCCCTCCCCCTGTCACGGCAGAGAGCCGTGACAGGATCGAGAGGTGAGCGAACCTGGTATGTGTTCGCTCACCTCCCGATCTACTGAGCCGACCTGTGACAGTCTCATTGTCACAGGTGGGCTAGAACTATGAGGTGAGTGGAAATCACTCATCTCATAGTTCTCCTTTAACTTTGTTTTCCCCACCGACTTCAATACCTTTCACCAAAATGGTGACATTTCACCTAAATCTCATGATTTTCTCTGATATTTTGGGTAAATAGAAATTCAATGCACTCTCTAATTTTAACCTTCTAGAGTAAACAAACCCAAATTGAAGGTTTGTCATGAATGGGCTCATTTATTTGCCCTGGTGCCCTTTCAGACTGTCAGACATGGTGTCTTCTTTGTGGCCCCAGGCTTTGATCTGTAATCTAAAACAGAAGACACCAAAATCTTCTGTTTTCAGTATCTGAACAAACCGAGCCTTGATATATACTATCAATCTGACTAGGCCGGCAGCATTTGGCTTTGCATGATTACAAGCCTCTAAATTATAGTGTATGAGCACAAAGCAAACATATTTCAGGAGTCAAATCTCCAACCTAGCAAAGGGGACCTCAATTGAAAGGAAATACTTGTGAGTGTTCAGCCATTATACATTTTGAATTATTTTTGCAATGTTTACCTGAAAATAATTACCATAACTTGCATGTTCCGTAGTTTTATGACCACTTTTATACAGAGTCATCAGCCACCATATGGATAGCTTACTGCACCTTCTGGGGTCGTAAGTGTCCCGAGACCATCCATCTCCTCTGAGATTGCCTGATCCATTGTTCTTGCCTGAACAGGATATGAGTAAAGAGATCTGCTGGAAAGATAGATCAAAGACAGAGAGAGAATGGCGGCTGCATCCTTACCTGTACAGGATGTAGGGGCGTAAGTTGATCCAGAAGCGACATTAAAAGAGAACTACAGCCCAATCTTTTTTTTTTGCCATGGTTCTCTTTAGGGTCACTGAAGGACATATACTAATGTCCTCCTGTGACCCAAAACTCAGAATATAGTATGCTACTGACCACTTTATTCTGACAGAGCAGAGCCACGCTGCAGCCGGGATGGATCCCGTCAATATTGTCCTGATCCACCCCGCTGTCTGATTGACAGCTGGTTCTGCCTCTCTAGAGTCAGGGACAGCTGTACCCATCCCCTCACCTGTCCATCTTTCCAGTCAGCGCTGGGACACTTTTGTGCTCTCTGCCACTGTACTAAAGCTCCCTACTGTGTCCTGCCTGGTTAACGAATGGGCATACCGTTGCTAAAATATATTGGAAAAATACAAATCAACGGCTTAAAAACCTATATATATGGGTCAGCAGCACAGTGGTTAGTACTTCTTCCTTGCAGCACTGGGGATCACTGGTTTAAATCCCGGTCCCGGTCTCCCTGTGCTTGCGTGGGTTTCTTCTGGGTACTGCAGTTTCCTCCCACACTCCAAAGGCATGCTGGAAGTTCAATTGGCTCCTGTCTAAAATGCGCTATGTATGTGAGAAAGGGATGTTAGATTGTAATCTCCTTGAGGACAGGGACTGATGTGAATGTGCAACTATGTAAATTGTCAGTGTTAAATAACTACCGTGTTTCCCCGAAAATAAGACACTGTCTTATATTTTTTGTGGCTCAAAAAAAAACACACTAGGTCTTATTTTCAGGGTAGGTCTTATTGTTTTTTTTATGTATAACAATCCAAAGTTAATGCAAATTCAAATTAAATAATCCAAAATTACAAAGTTAAGAATAGGGTGATCAGGGCAATCGGGGTGCCATACCTTTCCAAGAGCCATTTGAAGACCAGAATGAGCGAAGCGCACTTTCACTATCGATTCCTCACAGGTGGAGTGCATTTGTTACAGCTCCGCTTGTGACAGGAGCCGGCGCTATAGAGGAAGCATCGGCTTATGCGGCTCTCCTCCCTCCACTGCCGCCTCGCTTCCTCTAGCGCTGGCACCGCTGATTCTCTCCCGCCTCTCCAAGTTCCCCCTTATGCCACCACCGGCCCTGGCAATGGTCACAACTAGGTCTTCTTTACGGGGTAGGTCTTATATTTTAGCAGTTCCCAAAAATGATACTAGGTCTTAATTTCTCGGTAGGTCTTATTTTCGGGGAAACAGGGTACCAATTATAAATAAATATATGTTATACATCATATAATATATATATATACACACACACACAGTATGTTGCATACTTCAGCAAATATGTGCTGATGTATGCAACATATCTGCTATCAAGGGGCCTCTGCCGTGGCTCTGGGTCTTGCTCTGAGGTATCAATAATAATTAAGGCATTATACGTTTTTTTGTATCTTTCAGGTCTTTCAAGAAAAACGTTGACATATGAAGATCTAAAATCCTGCATTATTATGGTTCTTGATGGAATTTGTGCTACTGAAATGTTTGGACGTCTTGGTACAAAATCAAGTGTAACCATTGGGAGTTTCAGCATGGACATAAAACACATGTATTGTTCTGTTCTGATGTAAATCTTACTTACAACCGGTCCCATACAATATTATTGCAGAATTGCTTGCGGAATATCTAGAACTGTCCGTGGCAGAATAATGGGATGGTGAATCATCAGTTGCACATTCGTCAGCATATTCTCTTCAAACTCATAGGGTAAATATTTACCTTCAACGACATTTTTTTAAAATGTTGGAATCTGCCCTTAATTACTTCTAGCAGAGCACTGAGTGAGAATCCTAGGTCTCGTCTTCTATCTTCATGCCTACTTAAAAATAAGGGGGACATTATTTTGCAATGCAACATGCTGATTAAACCTGAGGTTGTAGAGAAGAACTGGTTTTATCTTCTCGATCTGCAACATTGAGAGGCTGTGATATGATGCACTGTGTCCGCTGTCACTTCCGATTAAGCCACCACAAAAGGACAGTATGGATCCCACCTCTATTATGCATCCTGGCCTTCGTGATCTACATTATTTTCTTCTGTCCAGACTACTCCAATCCAGGGGAGATTGTGGAAGAGTTTGATAATGGAGTGTGTACGTGTGGACTTTGTAAGCCAAGTAAGCTAAAGACACCATGGTTTGTGAAACGATTTAATGCGTCTGTGCAGCCTCTTCTATCAAGTAAGGATCAGGTGATCCCGGATCATGTTCTAAAATGGTGGCTGGTAAGTAAAACGTAAAAATGTCTAATTTTCTGACTTGTGCGTCTGATGAGTTGGTCTTGTTCTAGAACCCATTTAGCGTAACATGTGATAGGCCAACAATTAGTATTTTGGTGGCCTATTTATAAAGGTGTGAACATGAAATTGTTTGCACATCTTAGTTCACTTAAAGAAGAACTCCAGGAGAACTTTTTGTTAAACCTTGCAGTGGGGCTACCCCTGCACTACAAGGGATAACGGGGAACTATGGGGTAGGTGTTTTTCCCCCCGTAGTTCTCCTAAGGGTAACGGGAGGACATAAACTAGCGTCCTCCCGTGACCCAAAGCTCAGTATATCGCAAGCTACAGCTCGCGGTATACTGAGACCGCCACAGCCGGGACGGATCCCGACATTACTGTCGAGATCCACCCAGCTGCGTGAGTGACAGCTGGCTCTGCCTATCTAGAGGCAGAGCAGCTGTGACAGCCTCCTCCCCATCCGTTCCTCCACTCAGCGCTGGAGGATCGGAGTGGGGAGGGGGAGAATCACCGCGGGGAGTGGTGACCGACAGTCACGGCTCTTTGCAATCGGATGATCGAGAAGTGAGCGAGCAACGGTATGTGTTCGCTCACTTCCCGATCTATTGAGCCGACGTGTGACAGTTTCATTGTCACACATCGTCTCGAACTATGAGGTTGAGTGAAAATCACTCACCTCATAGTTCTCCTATTAAATGCTCATTTTTGCCTAGGTTAAAAAATAATAAAGAATTACCCACCCGAATCTTCGAGCTGGCCAGCTGTCACAGCGCTCTCTCCTGCCTGTCTCCTCCTCTGCTGCATGATCAGAATCTTCCTCAGCATCTTCACATCTGTACACTGTGTATAGACTAGGGATGCACTGATACCGGTTTTTCGGTATCAAGTACGAGTACCGATATATATATATTATTATTTTTTTTGGTACTCGCTGATACCGATTCTGTGGATCTGTGCTATCTCCAGCTCTGGTCATCAGGTCTCTAGTCATCAGGGGGTAGGGCAACCATGAGCAAGCAAAGCCTTTTCCTCTATCAAGATTTCTACCTAGACACAGTATGGAAAGTAATGGGGACAAGGTCAGCTGCAAGAGGGCTAGAGGCAACACTGCTGACTAGTCTTTTGCCCTCAGCTTCAGCAATTCAGGTTCTCTTTAAGAGTCATGAAACAGGCCATTTTGTCTTTTATTTGTAAAGGATCATTGAACAGTACAAACTCTGCAAAGTAGCTTACAAATGTGTCATATTTTTCCAACAATGGACAATAGTTTGTGAAAGAGTGCCAAATGATGTCACTGTACCAATTTCACTATAAGATACATAATTGCATAGGACATTAAACATTTCTCAGTAGTTACATCTATAATTAAATCAAAGCAACTGTGAGATTAATATTTATTTAGGTAGATACAAAAGATTTCCTACAGTTCTTCTCCAGGTCTCTATCCTCTTCACGCCCACCGTCAGTTGCCGGATCCCCTTCTCCTTCATTGGAAAACTACAATGAATAACTGTCTACTTCTGTATGTTTATTGTACTATTGGGGTGCCGTGCAACCTGCCGGGGCTCTTCCATTGTGGTGTACTGCCGTTTGTTGCCCAATACTGAAGGATATCATTTTTTTTTGTGTTTTAATTTATATTTATCAATTTTTCCAAACAATAATCACAATTAATCACATATTCCACAACTAATACACAATGCACGATATTACAGAACAAAACTTAATAATACATTATTTCCATATATTATAATATATCTGAAATCCATAACTTAGTTTGTAATCAGGGGCTGTTCTCCCCAGTTACACTAGTTAAAAAATATTGTGAATTACTATTAATATTAACTAAAATCGTAATTTTAAATTCATTATCATTCTCGATTTCCTATTTTGTGATGATATTTACCTCCTGTAATTGTGAAAGGCTTCAAAAGGCCATAAATCACTGATCAGTGCATACAAAAATTAAATAATGTGAAAAAATACCCAGGATCAAAATCACTAAATAATATTATACACTGAGTGGCCAGATTATTATGACCACCCCATCAGTACTTCATTGGGCCACGAGATAACTCCATGAGATGACTTCGTTGGGCCGCCTCGTGACTGCACGAGATGTTGAAAGGTGATGCGAGGAATCTGACACTGCACTGTTACCCTTCTGTTGTCTTGTACCAGTCTTGCCACTCTACGTTCTGCCCTAACATTGACTAGTCGCTGACGGCCACAATTCGCACGTTCATACCCAGATTTTCGGCTCCGAGCGCCAACAATCATCCCACGTTCAAAGGCTGTTAAATCGCGTTGTTTCCCCGTATCTTCAGAAACAAATCACTTCTACTGTCGTGGTAAACAACCTGCTTCCCTATTTATAATGGTCTGGCCCTCTAGCAACTTCAGCACGAAATTATAGCTAATTATAGCTAATTTGTCTACAAACATCAGGTGGACATAATAATCTGGCCACTCAGTGTATAATTATGATAGATTAATAATTATAAAAAAAAATGTATATCATGAAAAAGAATGGCACGGGACACAATGCACCACGGAAAAGCAGCTAAAAGCATGCTTCCAACACATAAGAGAGAGAGAGTAAATCTGGCCCTGCTCAAGCCCTTACAGTTTAGGTGAAGTATGCATCTACAAGAAAGAGATTTAGTGGTTAATCAAAAAGGAATCAATGTTTGGCAAGCACTTCCTTTTTACATAAATTGGGTTTCTCAATTTATATCTTTGTCTTGCATACATAGAGTAATGAGGAATTTATTTGCAGAACTGAAACTCCTATGACTCAAGAGATATGCCATTGAAACAAAGGGAGTGATTTACTGAGTGTTTGTGATGCCTCTCAGCCTCTTCTTTAGTCTTCATACAAAGTGCAATGTTGTTTTGGATCTGATACTTTTTTTAGTGTTTATTATATTTTCTGTTTGGCAGAGTCTCCAAGGAATTAACAATGCAAGTGACATTCCTAGGATACTTGATCAGATGTTCAAGGTGATACCTGTGGGAAACCCATATGAAGAAATGTATAACAGGCCATGCCGGACCTGTGCTGTTGTTGGGAATTCCGGTAACCTGAAGGGATCACGACATGGGAAAAAAATAGATTCCCATAAATTTATACTCAGGTAACAATGTCACATCGTTATTAGACTTGTCAAGTATATAAAGTGTTGTTCCTCAGTAAACCACCGTCTGAATTGCTGAGGTGCAACTACAAATATCTGATAACTTGTTTAGTAATTTGTTTACTGCTGTTGCTGCCTGTCTCCATTTTATTTAAAAGTAAGTATACTGTATATACAAACTGTATATGTATATATATATATATATACACAGAAGTCT